ACTGATAGACAGCACTAATTAGGGGTCACGGATAGGCGGCACTGATATGCAGCACTGATAGGCGGCACTGATAGGTGACACTGATGATGGGTACTGATAGACGGCACTGACTGGCATCACTTCTGGGCACTGACTGGCTGCACTGGTGGGGCACTGCACTGGGGGCACTGGTGGGTGGCACTGGTGGGCACTGGTGGGTGGCACTGGTGGGCACAGGTGGGTGGCACTGGTGGGTGGGCACAGGTGGGTGGCACTGCTGGGCACATGTAGGTGGCACTTCTGGGCACAGGTAGGTGGCACTGCAGAGTGGCACAGGTGGGGGCACTGCTGGGCACAGGTGGGGGCACTGCTGGGCACAGGTGGGGGCACTGCTGGGAACGGGTGGGCGGGGCTAGTGGGCGCACTGCTGGGCGGAACTTGCGGGTGTCACTGCTGGGCACCGATCATCAGGGCACTGATCATCCGTGCCCTGATGATCGGTGCCGATCCCCGCTCTGACAACTGCCGGTTCTCGGCAGTACTTTCCTCACGATCTGACAGCGTGAGGAAAGTGCAGCCGAGAACCGGCACTTGCATTTCCCTGTGATCAGCGTGTCATTGGACACCGCTGATCACGTGGTAAAAGGCCGGTGGGATCGGCCTTTCACCACATCACGTGATCAGCTGTGTCCGTAGGACACAGCGATCACGGAGATCGCCGGGTGCGCGCCCCCTGGGGCGCGCAGGAGAGCGCGTTCTGGGAGGACGTCATATGACGTCCACTCAGAACTGGCCGGCCGCGGTGAAGCCGTCATTCGGCTATGCGCGGTCGGCAAGAAGTTAAGAACAAAGAACAAAACCATTAAAACATTTTCACACAAAAACAAAATAATGAATATTTACCGCAAATCAGTGTGACTTCTGCTGTTGTCTTTCAGAGGCCAGTTCAGAAATGCGCGGCATTACCTTGGCAAGTGCCACTCTCATGTCATTTTCGCAACAAAGTCTGTTCCTTTTCTTCGTCTTTATGTCCAGCATCCTCGAAAAGGATTGCTCGCAAAGATATGTTGTAACAAACGGTATGAAAATTCATCCCCCATAGTAATTCATCCCCCATATAGTAATTATCCCCCATAGTAATTCATCCCCCATATAGTAATTCATCCCCCATATAGTAATTCATCCCCCATAGTAATTCATCCCCCATATAGTAATTCATCCCCCATATAGTAATTCATCCCCCATATAGTAATTCATCCCCCATATAGTAATTCATCCCCCCATATAGTAATTCATCCCCCCATATAGTAATTCATCCCCCCTATAGTAATTCATCCCCCCATATAGTAATTCATCCCCCCATATAGTAATTCATCCCCATATAGTAATTCCATCCCCATATAGTATATACATCCCCCATATAGTTCATCCCCCATATAGTAATTCATCCCCCATATAGTAATTCATCCCCCATATAGTAATACATCCCCCATATAGTAATTCATCCCCCATATAGTAATACATCCCCCATATAGTAATACATCCCCCATATAGTAATTCATCCCCCATATAGTAATTCATCCCCCATATAGTAATTCATTCCCCCATATTAATTCATCCCCCATATTAAGTCCCCAAGTCCCCCCTGTGTCAATTCACTTACCTTTGCTCCGCGCGTTCCTCTCGCTGTATTCCCGCGCCGTTCCGGTCTTCAGGGCGGACTGAGAGGAGCCTAGCTCCTCTCACGTTCGTCACGCTGCCCTGCCTACACACATCCTGACAGCCAATCACTGGCTATCAGGATGTGAGTGGCAGCGAGACTGGCCAATCATTGCATTTGAGTCCCTGCCGCCCGAGAGGAGGGAGGGGAGCGGGCGCCCGGTACACAAGAGCCGCGGCTTGCCGACCACTGGGCTAAGCGATGTTGCGTGACCACCTGCAGCCAATGATGGACAAGCGGGGCATGCCATCACAAATCATATGAGTCGGGTGTGGGTCACCTCCGCCGAACCCCCGAGACTGACTCACCGAACCCCTGGGGTTCGATCGAACCCAGGTTAAGAACCACTGATCTAGGGGTTCTGGTAGATCACAAGCTTAATAATGGCATGCAATGCCAAGCTGCGGTTTCTAAAGCGAGCAAAATCCTTTCTTGTATTAAGAGGTATGCACTCCAGAGAGAGAGATATCATATTATCCCTGTACAAATCATTAGTAAGACCTCATCTGGAATATGCCGTTCAGTTTTGGGCACCAACTCACAAAAAGAACATTGGGGAACTGGAGAAAGTGCAGAGAAGGGCAACCAAACTGATAAGACACATGGAGAAGTTCAGATATGAGGAAAGATTACAGGAACTGAATTCTCTCTTGAGAAGAGGAGATTAAGGGGGGATATGATCAACATGTATAAATACATCAGTGGTTCATATAGTCAACTCGGTGTAGAGTTATTTACCCTGAAGTCATAACAGAGGAAAAGGGGGCACGCTACGTCTGGAGGAAAAGCGATTTAATCTCCAAACACGGAAAGGTTTTTTCACAATAAGAGCTATGAAAATGTGGAATAGACTCCCTCAAGAGTTGGTTCTGGCCAGCTCAGTGGATTGCTTCAAAAAAGGCCTGGATTCTTTCTTAGATACACAGAATATAACTGGATACTAACATTTATAGGTAAAGTTGATCCAGGGAATATCCGATTGCCTCTTGGGGGGGGGGGGGGGATCAGGAAGGATTTTTTTCCCCTGCAGGAGCAAATTGGATCATGCTTTGCTTGTGTTTTTTTTTTTTTTTTTTTTTTTTGGCCGCCTTTTGGATCAACTGTGGGTATAGGATTATAACTTTTTTTTTTTGGATGGCCTGGATGGACTTTTTTTTCAGCCAGACTATAACTATGAGATACTGTTTTGTCCCTCAGAAATGTTTCTCTTTTTCTCAATTACATCCTTTTAAATCTCTCCAGGTACTCCTTAGGTCCCCTATCTTTTTGTCCTGGAACAGTTTATTGGAGACCAACTGTGAACCCTGTGCACACAAATCTTTAATGTCATCAATTTGTTGTCTTTTCTTTCACCTACCAATGAGGACATCATATTTTGTGAACTGTTCAATACATTGCTTTCCCATTTTGACTTGAATTCCTGTGATATGTTCTTGATATTAGGGAAGATATGGACTCTTAATCCAAATGAGTTGCATTCCTCCTTCCACATCTTTGCAAATATCTTGTATGCTAAAACCTGATTTTCTTTCCAAAAGTTTAGAACTGAAAAATATATTAATCTCTGATTCAGCCTCGTCTCCTTTACCACATTGGGATAATTTATTGTCTCAAATTGAGCAACAGACAGAAGCTGGTCTTTTGACCTGGGAAACACACTGGGAAACAAGACATTCTTCCATCAACCAAGTTGATGAGGGTTGACTCTGTATTGTAATACCATAGTCTAACCTATGATGATGTTTAGGAACTACGTACTAAAATATTTGTGGCGTACAGGTTCACTTAAAACATATGTATTGGAACAACGTGAATATTGTATTTTTAATTGAAATAAATTATAAAGATAAAAATTTCTTTTTTGTAATATGTCTACGTATGGAGAAACAAAGTACCTTATAATTCTCCTGTTATGGTAATTTAAATCCATTAATTATTGGGATGTGGGTATACTCCTTGAATGTGAGATGTGTTAAAGAACCTAGACCCTATGCTATATAGAGAAAACATTTAAAGAGAAACCATTTAAAGAGAAACCAAAGGCAGGAATATGTATCAGTCGATTGTCTGCAAAGTCCATCGTCAGCATTGGCATATTCTCTTCAGCTTCTCCCTTGCGCCACCGCATCTTCGACTGTCTTGATTGGCCAGTGCAAGATGACAGCACTCCCACGCAGAAGTAATTTGTTCTGCTGTAAATATGCTGCTCTGCGTACATTCTGCAGAGGATTGCGATCAAGAGGGTAAGTTTACTGTAGAAGAGACATTGCATGTCTTTTCTTGAGCAAAGAGCCTGCCTGTTAAAATTTTTTTTTTACCCCTTTGTTTCACTTCAGCACTGACAGGAGTGCTTACACTGATCAGCTTTTTATTCATTTATGTAAAACCTGTATCCCAAAAGGAAAAAAAAAATAGCTGTAACTGCTTACAAAGGATTAGCTGGAGCTGGGCTTTACATTGTTGTTCGCTGTTATTTTGTTAGTCTAAATCTACTGTTCCATAAAATACCATCCTCTCCACTGATTCACAGTTCTGCTTTCCAAGGGTAGCTACGTTGCTCCTCCTTAGATGCAAAGGAGGAATGAATGTAGTCACCATAAGACAGGAGGTGCGGTGCTGGCTGATCACCAGGTAAAAATAAATGAAAGCCTGGAAAAAACCGGATGCAGTCATTACATACAATGATTGGAAAGCTACAATATTGAAAATGTTGTTTTTAGGTATATTTATGCTTTAAAGTGGAAGTAAAGGCTAATCCTAACTCTTAACCTACTCTCGGCCACATTCTAAGCCTGATCTATCTAGCCCTGTAAAAAAAAAAAAAATCTCTATGCTTGCTTGTTCTGTAGTTGCTCTGGTCCGGCCTCCAGCGGTGCCCTCTGTGTGCTGGAAACAGCCGACAATGGCTGGGAAGTGACGTCACCCATAGTTGTTATAGGGCTTCTGTTGTCTGCGGTCTCTCCTGCACACTCCTGCATGCTGAGGCAGCTACTGACAGCTCAGTGTGTGAGCGGACCAGAGCGGCTGCAGAACAAGGAAGTATAGTGATTTTTTTTCTTTACAGGATGTCATGAATCCGGCTTAGAATGTAGGTTTAGAGTTAGGATTTGCCTTTTACTTTCACTTTAATGTTGTAGGGAGGAACATATTCCTGGTTTCTAAAAGTGTGGGATTCCGAAAAAAAAAGGAAAGCACAAATAAACATAAGCATTATAGCGCTCAGTAATACCTGATTGCAGATTAATTTGAATTGATTTAACCCTTATTGAGACATAAATATGTAATGAATTATCTTTGTTAGGTGAGGTTTTGCAGCCTGTCACAGATCATGATATACCCCAGCAACTTGTTGAGAGGCTACAAGAGGAGAAGCGGATTGAAGCGCAGAAGCGAAAAGAACGCCAGGAAGCTCATCTCTACATGCAAGTGCAGGTTAGACTAATGTTTTTGTATAGTCTATATCTGTGCATGAGCCTGTGCATGTGTACAATTCTTTAATGATAGTGTTTTGTGTTTTTTTTTTTTTTTTTTATGCCAACATAAGATTCCAGCTATTTCATTAAAGTGATTCCCATACGTAACTTATTTCCAAAGATGAGGTCTTTCATTCTGTTCATAACAACTCAAAAACAATATGTATACCTTGCTATTAGAAATATATGCCTGGAAAACACAGAAAAAGCGTTAAATACGTTAACATGTTTTTATTAACAATGGACAAGTCCTAAAGATTCTGAGAAATGTTTTAACATCTCAAACTTAGATGAGTGTGTTTTAAAATGTATTAAGATTTTGTTATGCATTTTCATTTTTTAGATTGTTACAGAGGACCAGTTCTGTGGACATCAAGGCAATGACATGTATGATGAGGAAAAAGTTAAATACACTGTGTTCAAAGTATTAAAAAACTCCACCCTTGCTGAATTTGTTCAGAATCTTTCGCAAACTATGGTAAGTTGGCCTTCCATATGTTTGAGGAAACTCTAGACCGAAAACCTTCAATTTAATTTTTGTGTCGTATGCTACACTTCACCAAATACCAATTCTGTAAATGCAAATTTTCCTAAAGGGTTTAATTGAAACTACGTGAAAAGGTCAGAGTTCAAGCTTTTCCCAAAAGATGGACTTGAAGGATACTAGATTCTCTGAAAGTGGGAAACCATGGAAGTAACTTAGCAAAACTGGAGAAGAGAATCTGAGGAAGGTGCGCATGGCAACCAGTCAGCTTCTAACTTGAGCTTTTTCAGTTAGGCTTTGAAAATGAAAGATATAAGCTGATTGGTTGCCATGCAAAGCTGCTCCCACTTTGATCCACCTGTTTCAGGTTAGAGCAGTCATATTGCATGCATATCGCCTAAAAACAAAGATTGGTAAGAGTGGTACCAAGTTCCTCGCTATTCAGGATGTCTGTATAATTACAAACATAAAATACAGGGTACCTTGTCTGAGGACCACACAATACATAGTATGATTTAACTGTACTTATGACTTTTTATTTCATAACATCAAGGCCACGTAACAGTGCCAAAAGTATAGGCTATTGAGTAAGTGTGATAAATGGAATCTTACATCTTATACTTGTATACAGCTATACATTTACACCCTTGTACAGTTTAGTTATAACATTCCTTTTCAGATTTACCTAAAGATAAAGACATTGTGTTTGGTCTGATATGTTACTTTGTACTGTTATACCTAGTTTTTGAAATCTTTCCAGCAAGACACGCACGCGCGCGCACGCACACGCGCACACACACACACACGCACGCACACGATTTGCAGGTGTGAAAGTGACACATTTTTTACATTGAAAGTGGACCTGATGTTACCTTTTGCTTCTGCTGTGTGATAAGAATCCTAGCCAACAGGTTGGAAGCCTCACTTTCATCATTCACTGCTTGCGCTGCTATTAATACAGGGTCATGTCAGAGCTTACTAAGACTTGCAATGCCTTTAAAATTTGAAATCTTTGTCATAAAAGAATTGATAAGTAAATAATGATTATTTTATCTCACAGGGATTTCCTCAAGACCAGATTCGGCTATGGCCAATGCAAGCAAGGAGTAATGGAACAAAAAGACCTGCAATGTTGGATTATGAAGCAGATTGCAGCAAAACAGTAATTATTTGTATAGGGACTGGTCTTGAATTATATTTATGGGTATAATTATGGTAGCGTTCCTAAATGTCAGTTTGTTACTGTTATGGATAAATTTGTTGGTACAGCTCGTTTGAAAAATTATTTTTTTACTCCTGAAAAAGGATTAAATTAAAGTAACAGGTAAGGCTATGTCCTAACCAAGCTTTTAAATGTTCACTCCCCACTGCCATTACATTTGTTGCATAGTAAATGTTAATAAATGTCAGAGTAACCTTCCTTCTTAAAAAAAAAAAAAAAAAGTTTTACACATACCTGCATTCCTTTGGTATGGTATAGAGGAGTGGCCTCCAAAATGTGCCCCTTTGCTTGCCTTTTTCCCGGCCCTTGGGGCACTATTCCATCCAGTGATTTCAACAATGGAGCAAAATTCCTCCCACTGACAACAATGATGGGGCAGAATTCCTCCCACTGACGCCAGCAATGGGGCAGAATTCCTCCCACTGACGCCAGCAATGGGGCAGAATTCCTCCCACTGACGCCAGCAATGGGGCAGAATTCCTCCCACTGACGCCAGCGATGGGGCAGAATTCCTCCCACTGACGCCAGCGATGGGGCAGAATTCCTCCCACTGGACGCCAGGACTTTTTCTACTCCCACTGGCCTAAAGCCTGAAGGAAAGTAAACGGGCCCTTTGTGTGGGAAGTAGGGAGACCCATGGTATAGAGTAAAGTTAAAAAAAAAAAAGTGTGAAAAGAGAGAAACGGTTGCTTATTCAACAAAGGTCTTCTAAAGTGGTCTTTACAGCAGACGTGTAGACACCCCTAGAAAAGATCATAAATATTCTGATCATAGTGATATGTCAGACAATTTGTTTTTGAAATCTGTATTACACACGTATTCAACCATGTAATTAGTCAGCTTAAAGTGGAGCTGTAGTCTGTTTTCAGAGGTTTAGAAGTCAGCAGCTACAAAATCTGTAGCGGCTAACTTTTAATAATCAGACACATACCTGTACCAGGATCCGGCGATGTGCCCACTGCGCATGCATGAGCCTTGCTGCACATTGTGAATGGTCCCACAGTCTTCTGGGACCTGTCACACTTCCCAGAAGACTGCACCGTGGTGGTTGGGGGGGGATGTGTGAAGAAGAACTTCCACTTCTCATCGCCTAGGCGGTGGCAGCTGGTACCTGTCAATATCAGGTGACCCATGACCTAATATTTTGCTGCACATCCTTTGAGACCAGCACTGCAAACGTGATTTATGTAGCTATAAGTCTTCTGCAGTTGCCAACAAGTATCATGGCCCACTCTTCTTGAGCAACTGCTCCAGCTGTTCTAGATTTGAAGGGTGCCTGACTGCATGTTTTAGCTCCTTCCATATGTTTCAAAGGATTCAGTTCAGGGGTCTTAGGTCACTTTGGAGTAGTCCAGTGTTTTTGTTCTCAGCTATTCATGGGTGCCTTTTTTGTGTGATTTTGGGTCTTCATACTGTTGGAGGACTCATTACCTGCCACTGAGACAAAGCTTTCTGACACTAGGCAGCAAGTTTTTGCTTCAAATTCTTTTAGTCTTGAGATTCCATTGTGCCCAGCAGGTACTCAGGACACCCTTTGCCAGATGCAGCCCAAAACATAACCCTGTCTCCTCATCTTTCACAGTAGGTACAGTAAGGGAAGTTTATCAAAGCTGAAGTAAACAGAATCTGGAGTAGCTGGGCATGGCAACCAATTTATCTTCTATCAAACTGAAGATCGAAACTGGTTGCCATGCACATCTGCTTCAAAGTCTATTTACTTCAGCTTTGATGAATTCCACCCAGTGTTCTTTTCTTTAAAAGCTTCATCTCCATCTCCATCTGTTAACATAATAGATGTGAATTGCCAAAAAGCTAAATTTGTCCAAAGGACGTTCCCCCAGAATCATAATGGGTTGTCTGTATGTTTTTGCAAACTCCAGTGCCTGCTTGCTATGGGGGCACTAGGCAGGAGGGAGGGGCCTGGCTGGCTTTTAAGGGACCTGAAAAGAGGTGGGTTGGGGGGTGCTCTGTGCAAAACCATTACACAGAGCAGGTAAGTATAACATGTTAATAGAAAAAAAAACAAAAAAAAAACCTTTAGCCCGGTTCACACTATTGTGGTGCTGGAAAGCCTATGTGATTCGGGCAGGAATCACAGCACATTCCTTTTCAAATCACATGCGATATTTTACAGTGTGATTTGAGCCATCCATTTTGTTTCGTTCAATTTGCTACGCAAATTGTACTGCACCCACACAAAAGGTGCAGGCATCTTCTCTTTTTTTTTTTTTCTTCTGCACTTGAATTGGATCTCATGGGCATCCACACCCATGCAATCCAATTCAGCCAATCACACTGCATTTTGCAAACAGTTTTTGGGGTGTCATTAACATAGACACCCACAGCAGTTTGTGTGAGTGGGGTACGATTGTGATGCAGTGTGAGAAAAGCACAGGAATCGCTGCAAATCTTGCACTGCATCATTGTGAACCGGCACTTAATGCCACTTTAATATTTGCAATTGTAGTCCTAGGAACATCATGCTGCTTAGTGATGTTTTATAATAGTCTTGAGCATGCTGGTCTATCATTTTCTTTGATTTTCTCAGACAGCTTTCTCTTTTGCATTCTCTGTTCCATGTTTTGTGTAGTGTGTGATTACTTTTCTCAATTTAAACAGGCTGATTACAAGATTGTGAGATATATGATGTGAATTACTGAAATCAGTTTGAAATATCCATATAATCCTGTTTAAAGTATTTTACAGAGGTTCCAAAAAATCTCTTTCACACTTCCTTTGCCATACCCTGTCACTACTAAGGTATGCAGGTATACCTGTGGCAATTACCTTATGTGTCATCACTTTTGCTGGTGAAACAAAGCATGATTACAATGAGGTGTAAAAGATGCCAATAAATTAGTCCATGGCTGTGTGTTTAATATGTATGCACAGTATCTCACAGAAGTGAGTACACCCCTCACATATTTGTAAATATTTTATTATAACTTTTCATGTGACAACACTAAAGAAAATATACTTTGCTACAATGTAAAGTAGTGAGTGTACAGCTTGTATAACAGTGTAAATTTGCTGTCCCCTCAAAATAATTTACACACAGCCATTAATGTCTAAACCGCTGGCAACAAAAGTGAGTACACCCCTAAGTGAATATGTCCAAATTGGGCCCAAAGTAACAATATTTTGTGTGGCCACCATTATTTTCCAGCACTGCCTTAACCCTCTTGGGCATGGAGTTCACCAGAGCTTCACAGGTTGCCACTGGAGTCCTCTTCCTCTCCTCCATGATGACAAGACAGAGCTGGTGGATGTTAGAGACCTTGAGCTCCTCCACCTTCTATTTGAGGATGCCCCACAGATGCTCAATAGGGTTTAGGTCTGGAGACATGCTCGGCCAGTCCACCACCTTTACCCTTAGCGTCTTTAGCAAGGCAGTGGTCATCTTGGAGGTGTTTTGGGGTCATTATGTTGGAATACTGCCCTGCGGCCCAGTCTCCGAAGGGAGGGGGGGGGATCAAGTTCTGTTTCAGTATGTCACAGTACATGTTGACATTCATAGTTCCCTTAATGAACTGTAGCTCCCCAGTGCCGGCAGCACTCATGCAGCCTCAGACCATGATACTTCCACCACCATGCTTGACTGTAGGCAAGACACACTTGTCTTTGTACTCACCTGGTTGCCACCACACACGCTTGACACCATCTGAACCAAATAAGTTTATCTTGGTCTCATCAGACCACAGGACATGGTTCCAGTAATCCATGTCCTTAGTCTGCTTGTCTTCAGCAAACTGTTTTTGGGCTTTCTTATGCATCATCTTTAGAAGAGGCTTCCTTCTGGGAAGACAGCCATGCACACCAGTTTGATGCAGTGTGTGGCGTATGGTCTGAGCACTGACAGGCTGACCCCCCATCCCTTCAGACTCTGCATCAATTTAAATACATGGAAAACGTGTCAAAACGCACCCTTGCGTTTTGATGCGATTTGATTCACATGTCCTGTGTAAAATGCACCACTAACTAGGTAAAAATGCATATGCGTTTCCTCTGTGAATAGAAACCGCTCCAGACTGGTCTTTTCCCTTTTGGCTGCCAAGAAAATATTTTCACACTTAGGATGGTTTTGAAGTCTCTCACATAGACACAGCAAAATAAACAAGCCCATTACGTAGTAAATTTGAAACCAAACAATCATCCCAAAAAGCGAAATGGCAAAATAGCGCATAAAACTCACATGCAGAGCTGCTTTCTGGATCCTAGAACAGCGGTGTCACATCTGTGCAAAGGCTCTGCCGTGCCAATGAGAAACATCAGATGGTTGAAAGGTTTAGTTCTGCATTAAAGAAAAGTTTGAGTTTTTAAAGTTTTATTGGCAATCTATGTTCCTATTGGAATTCAAGGTTGAAAGAAGAGAAATCACTCCAGCAAGGACCCAAACCGCAGATGTCTGGATTCCACATGATTGGTTTTCAGTAGACATTGGTTTTACATTTTGTTGTCAATATTTAAAATCATTTTTACCATGTCTTGTTTATAGATGATTGAGCTCAGTGACAATGAGAATCCTTGGACAATATTTTTGGAAACTGTAGATCCAGAAATGGCTGCTAGCGGTGCAACACTTCCCAAGTTTGACAAAGATCGTAAGTGTAGGCTATCCTCTCTAAAATCTTTTAATTTACACTTATAATTTTTTTTTTTTTAATTGATGTGATTTCTTACTCTGCATTGTTTGGTTTCTGTTGCATGTAAATGTTAAAGCTGAACTCCAGGTACAAACATTTTTATGTAAATATATTCCTCAGTAGTCTAAGAATGTAGATTCTATTTACGGGCACCAAATCCAGTTATCACCTTGTAAAAGCAGTGTTGACATAAATGCCTGACTGCACATAGCTTGCAGAGAGTAGAGCTGTGTGAGGGACCCAATAGATCCACCCACTACAGGGTGCCTTCAGACTACTACATGGGGGGTGGATACAAGACCAGTCATCCTGCAGGAGTTTCCTGTAATAAAGATCAAAGTTTTAGACTGGACCACTGCACAGATGTTAAAGAAGTAGACAGAGAGCACAAAGATTCAAGTTGGAATTCACATGCCTCTCTTGTATTTATACAATATTTGCTTATCCTGATGTTCAGTTGTAAATTATATCAATGTGAATGTCAGTTGGATGAACCAGAATTTATTCTACATGCTTATGCAGTAGGATTTTAGATAAACTCATTGAAAGGTCTCTGAAGCATTGTCATTTAATTGTCATTGAGATACTTTGGTGGGGGGAGGCTGGTACCTGGATTCGACGAGCTCTAGATTAACCTGCTGGCATCGACGGTACACAGATATTGGGCCTCTTGGCTGCTGGGCCTTGATGCCGAGTGTCCTACCAAAAGTAAACAAACATGTCAAGTGGGCATACCCTGTGCGCTCCGGTACATTTACCAATGCCGCACAGAAAGGTCCCTATTACTTGCAATGTGACCACTTTGGCTAATCATGGCAGTCACATGACTCTAAACCCCTCCCAGCATCACAAACCCATTAAAGGGCCAGGAGGCACTGTTGCCAATGGATTAAAATGTTTTAAGAGCCTGTTCACAACAGATGCAGCAAGGTTGCACCGGTAGTCATTTTCAACGCTGCCCCAACATATACAGCCCTGGCCAAAAGTTTTGAGAATGATGCAAATATTAATTAACTTGCAAGGAACTGTGTGCAGTCATCATTGCTTTTCACAAAAAGGATTCACAGGCAAGGATACTGCTGCTACTAAGATGGCTCCTAAATTAACCATTTATTGGATCAAGGAGAGAGGTTCAGTTGTTGTGAAGAAGGCTTCAGGGCACCCAAGAAATTCCAGCAAGCTCCTGGACCATCACCTAAAGTTGATTCAGCTGCAGGATCGGGGCACCAGCAGCGCAGAGCTTGCTCAGGAATGGCAGCAGGCAGGTGTGAGTGCATCTGCACGCACAGAGGGGCAAAGACTTTTGGAGAATGGCCTGGTGTCAAGAATGGCAGCAAATAAGCCACTTCTCTCCAGGAAAAACATTGGGGACAGACTGATATTCTGCAAAAGGTACAGGGATTGGACTGCTAAGGACTGGGGTAAAGTCATTTTCTCTGATGAATCCCCTTTGCAATTGCTTGGAGTTACCAGAAAAATCGAGTGCTACCATTAGTCCTGTGTCATGCCAACACTGAAGCATCCCAAAGACTATTCATGTGTGGAGCTGCTTCTCAGCCAAATGAGTGGGCTCACTCACAATGTGCATAAGAACACGGCCATGAATAAAGGATGGTACAAAAACGTCTTCCAAGAGCAAGTGCTCCCTACCATCCAGGAACAATGCCTTTCCCAGCATGATGGAGCACCTTGCCATAAGGCAAAAGTGATAACTAAGTGGCTTGGGAAACAAAACATCGAACATTTTGGGTGCATGGCCAGGAAACTCCCCAGACCTTAATCCCATTGAGAACTTGTCAATCAATCAATCCTAAAGAGGCAGGTGAACAAAAGAAACCTGACAAATTTTGACACAAGCATTTATTATACACGAATGGGCTGCTGTCATTTAGGATGTGGCCTAGAAGGTGATTGACAGCATGCCAGGGCGAGATGCAGAGGTCTTGAAAAAAGAAAGGTCAACACTGCAAATATCAACTTTGCATAAACTTAATGTAATTGTCAATAAAAGCCTTTGACACTTATGAACTCCTTGTAATTATACTTCAGTATACTATAGTAACATCTGACAAAAAGATCTAAAAATACTGAAGCAGCAGACTTTGTGAAAATTAATTTGTGTCATTCTCAAAATTTTTGGCCAGGGCTGTAGATACAGCAAAATGTCTTGAGTGCAGAGCACACCACAGCATTACTGTGGCGTGCTGTGAAAGAGCACTGGATGCAGTATTTTTTTCAGAACAGCAGGTTGCAATACAAACCATCACAGTAGTGAATAGTGAATTATCGCTACAGTGAAGGGTACTGTATTGAAATGTCACTTGTGACATTTCATCAAAGCTCTGTGGGGGGGAAAGTGGTGTGACATCCCAAGATTGTTATATCAGCACTGTCACACAGCTCACTTAAGTGGCTGTGCATTTAGAAGGACTCAGTGGTGGGAACGGGATTAAAAAGTGTTTCCTAGAGCGTTATGGGTTAGCTAAAGAAAACACATAGCAGTAGCTTCCTGCCTTTTAGGCTATATTTCCTTGAAAATTTTGAAGGAACCATCTGATAAGGGATGATTGACTGAGATAAATAATTCCTGTCAACTTATTCTGGTTTATATTATTTCCAGCTTGAGTAATTAAGCTGTGTAAGCTTGTTACAAGTAAGGGGACAGGAGAACAAGTGAGCATCACAGCACTAGATCTGAAAAGGGAATGTGCTGACAGAAATATGCAGAAAGCCATTACTGATTTACTTAAAGTAGTTGTAAAGGCTCAAGGTTTTTTTTTTTTTAGCTTTTTTTTTCACAGCTAGTGAGCCAATGAACAGAGAGAGGGGGCAGGGCCGAGCCGTGGCTCTGTATAAATGGACACGCAGCTCAGGAGTGAGCCTGCTTGGGTGCCCCCATAGCAAGCTCCATGCTGTTGGGTGCACGAGATAGGAGGCAGGGGCCAGGAGTGTCGGTGGGAGACCAGAGAAGAGGAGAATCAGGGCTGCTCTGTGCAGAATCACTGGCCTTTTTTCAGTTTCCGACCCTGAATGTGTAAGTTGCTAGTGAAGTCGTCATCTTTTCATCTTGTGTCTAGTTATTGGCTTGCTAATTCTCTAAACTATCAAACTATACAATTAAGATGAGCATGGTTTCTTAGGTGTACAACAAAGGTTGATAGTCTTCTATCCACAGTCTCAGTTTCTAATAAAGTAAATGTATCTTTTTTACATGGAATACGTTTTTTATGCAGCAATTTAAAAAGCTTGTTACTCTTCAAACCTTTTGTTCAGTGGTTAATGAATATGTTTGCAATCTTGTAATTTTGGAAGGTATTTTGGTTGTGACCTAATTCGCTTTTCATGTTATGACAGATGACGTTATGCTGTTCTTAAAAATGTATGATCCAAAAAGTCGAAGTTTAAATTACTGTGGACATATCTACACACCAATCTCATGTAAAATACGTAAGTACAAAGCATATTTTTGTTAAGTTCTTGTATTGCAGGAAATTTATATTAAATCTTTTCTCTTTTATATTAGGTGACCTGCTACCAGTTATGTGTGAGCGAGCTGGATTTCCGCAAGGAACTAACCTTATCCTCTATGAGGTGATATCATTTTACACTTTTTTTTTTTTTTTTTTTACTTTTGCCCTTCTATGTTAAGGGCTGTTTCCCACAGCCATACAGGAAGTTCAACTTTCGCATTTGCATGCACACACATCATTAGAAAAGTACGTGCCAGTGGTTATGTGCTTAAAGCTGTGTGTTTTTTGTGATGCATGCCAGCTGGCAAAATGTATGCAGCAGCTGTGGCTTTCATATGCCCTGAATACAGGCATATTTTTTTTCAGGGCCATGTGCAAGAGCCCCAAGACTCCTTTTAATTTAGGCTAAACTGTCAACATTTTATTTTGTGACAGTAGTACCTAATACAAGTATAAACCTTTCCAGTAGTATTCAACACACAGCTATTGTCTGTTTTTACTAACCTTTCTGAGCTAAAAGACTCAGAGAAGTATGATGTACTTGGTTTCATAGGAATTTAAAAAATAATTGGGTCACTTTAGAATGATCTTTTAAGATATATGAACAGTTTGTAAATTTTTTTTTTTTTTTTTTTTTTGTTCTCTCACAACATTTTTCTCATTCGGTCCGTTCACAAGCATAATTAAGCAGGCCATAGACTGTTTGAACCATGTATGGGCAAGCTAAATGTACCCAAGTTGATCGATCAATCAACTTGGGTACAATCAGCCTGCCGGATTTTAAACGCGAATATTGCTAGCGGCTTCCGCCGCCGGGAGAACACAATCGCTCCATGGGAGGGATTCCCCTGTCAACACTCTGGTTGATGTGGGAATCAAGCTAATTTCTTCACTGCATAATGTGGTTGCAGGAAATAAATTTGCTCCATCTATGTCCAGCCTTAGAGCAGGTGTAGACTATTTTTTTTTTTTTTTTCGTGAGATAGTTCAATACCTCATTTGTTTTCACATTTAAGACTTCTTTCAAATGGCCGGTTTGTTGCATCCTCTAGATTCCCATGGCAAAAATTTATGGACTCTTTCTGCAGGAATGGCCGGGTTTATGTGTTCAGCATTGGCTGCCCAGCCCATTTAAACTAATGGCGGGTTGACAGTGGCCGCTGCTAAACAGAGCAATTAACTGCGGTTCCGGAACAGATATCCAAGCCTGGATGCAGCTGACTGCCTGTGTGAAATGGGCCATAATGTTATTTCACTTTGTTTTTTCACCTTAATAGTTCTGCTTTCTACTCTCCTCAGACAGTTCATAATAGTCCAATAGTCAGAAACTAGTTATACATTGAAAGCTAACTTGCGAACCAGCTTCAGTGGCTTTCTCATGGTGATCACATGATTGGAAACCATACAGCGCAACAAATTGAATGGACAGGACTTTAATATGTACCCATGGTTCCTTTTCAGATAAATAGGAACTACATAGTTTAAAAGCATATTCTATATTCCATTTTGATGGTTAACCAGTTGTCGCCCTGGCCTATAGCCAGGCGAACAGCTCGTCCCTCCGGGTGAACGCCATATGGCGTCCTTTCAGGCATGCGCAGTGCGGCTGCCTGCAGCGCGATCTGTCACCGGCTGTGTACCTTGGACACGGCCGATGACAGATCTGTATACCGGATCTGTTGCCAGTACCATGTGACCTGCTGTGACCAATCACAGCAGGTCATGTGACATTTGTATACAATGGATGGCTTCCTTTCATGCCATCCATTGTATACAAGTGTGTCTAGCTGTGAATGGTCACAGCGATCACATGCACAAGCTGGTCCGATCACATGCACAAGCTGGTCCGATCACATGCACAAGCTGGTCCGATCACATGCACAAGCTGGGCCAATCACAGCCCAACTGTGTCATGTGATTAGCCGTGGCCAAATCACAGCTAAGCACAAAAAAAAAAAAAAAACCTGAATGAATCGACTTCATTCAGGTAAATGCTTGCTTATAGCAAAGTAATTCTTTGCTATAAGCATATTTGTGTTAAAAAAAAAAAAAATACTGATCACTTCCTCAAAGTAGTACAATGTTACTACGGTAACATTATACTACTTTGGTCATAGTGAAATATGAAAATAAAATCTTAAAACAGAAAAAAAGTAAGAAAAAAATAAAACATTTTTTTTTTTTCAATCAATTTTTTTTTCTCTCGTACTGTCACCAGGCAGTGTCCCTGATCACCGCCATGCCAGTTATATGATGATGCTGTACTGCACTGGTGACAGTATGTTAAAAAAAAAAAAAATAGTGACTTTTTTTTTATTTTTTCATTTTCTGAAAAATGACAAAAAAATTACAACTTCAAAAAACTCGCCATGCCTCTTATGAAGTACGTCGGACTGTCTACTTTGCAAAAAGTGCTCATTTGGTGGATATCTGTACTGTTCTGACATTCTTGGACCTCAAGAAATTAGAACTGTCAGTACTTCAGGATTGATCAATTTTCAGATTATATCCCATAGTTTGTGAATTCTATAACTTTCCTACGAACTAAATAATACATCCTAATTTGGGTTATTTTCACCAAAGACATGTAGCAGAATACATCTTGGCCTAAATTTATGAAGAACAATTATTTATTTGAAAACTTTTATAACAGAAACCAAGAAAAACGTGTTTTGTTTTTTTTGTTTTTTTTTTCTCAAAAATTTCAGGGTTTTTTTTGTTAAATTAGCAAAAAATAAAAACCCCAGTGTTGATTAAATACCACCAAAAGAAAGCTCTAGTTGTGTGAAGAAAATGATAAAATGTTAGTTTGGGTACAGTGTTGTATGACCGCGCAATTGTCATTCAAAGTGTGAGAGCGCTGAAACCTGAAATATGGCCTGGGCAGGAAGGGGGTAAAAGTGTCCTGTATGGAAGCGGTTAAAGCAACTTGAATTATGAGGGAAACTGTTACAATAGTCAAATATTTTACCTAGTGTATTAATTATAGAAATATCTGGTTTGTTTACAGGAAGTAAAACCGAATTTAACTGAACGCATTCAAGATTATGATGTATCCCTTGATAAAGCACTTGATGAGCTTATGGATGGTGATATTATAGTATTTCAAAAGTGAGTATCTGTAGCCAGTGCATCTTGTATAAAAAAAAAAGCAATTTTTACACCCTTTTATTAGTAATAACCTGAGCAGTTTTGTCTAGCTGTAGTATGTGCTTTGCATACAGTGAATCTCTTAAATATGATAAGTACCAAGGCCAACAAAAAAAGGCAAAAATTGGCACCAAGAGAAACTTAATTTTGTACTCTTAGTTTCCTGATCACTTTTTTGTGCTGTAGCTGTCGGGGTTCTCAGTGTGCAAATTTCAGCAGGATCTCTGGTAATCTTTCCAGCAGTGCTTGCTGTTCTATAGCTAATAAGACTGCCGCATTGCATTAAGTGAGTAGAGAAGAGTGTGCCAGAGCTTAGATTTTCATATTTGCATGTTGAGCTCTGTGGGGTCTCTGGGGTACTTGGTTGAAAGAAGGAACATGCTTGTACCTCCTGGTAACATTTTTTTCCCCTTAGTACCTTTGCGACATGACCGGTTTATTGTATTCTACAGCTTTCACTGTTAAAAGTTTAAAAAGTGAGGTTTGCTAGATGTTAGATTGTTAAATGTCCTAGGCACTTAAAGTGTTATTAAACCCAAAAGCAAACATTAAATTGCAGCTTACCAATTCTTAAATGTGACGGCTGCATTCATTTTTTTTTTCTGTCTTTTATTTTCACATGCTCAACAGCTTTTATCTATGTAAAACCTTTATCCCAAAAGGAAAAAAATGGTTTGCTATACCTGCTTATAAAATAATAGCTGGAGTTTAGCTTCAGTTTATTATTTGTATTTAAATCTGCTAGTACATCAGACACCCCTTCCCCAAACTGAAATTGCTGCTGTCCAAAAATACCCCCTGTGCTAATTCATCCAGAATGGAGTATTGTAATACAGGAGGTGTGTTACTGGCTAGATTGCCAGGTGGAAATAGAGGGGAAAGAAGAAAAGAAACTGATGCAGTCACCACATCTAATGATTCCTAAGCTGCAGTATATTATATTTTTGGTTTTGGATTTAATATCCTGTTCGCAACCTTTTTTTTTTTTTTTGTTCCAAATGTTTTTTGCAAAAAAAGTCCATTAACCGCTTGTCCACTGCCCTATAGCAGAAGTACTGCTACAGGGCGTCAGTGCTGCGCAAAATCACATATATCTGATTTGCATCCCTGGGTAGGGCACGCACGCTGCCTTACCTGCGCCGCTATTGGCAGCTAGAGATATCAATCGCTGGGTCCGGGCTGGCGATTCCCCACCGGCACTCGGTGATCATCGGGGAAAGCTGACAGGGGAGAGACCTGTGTGTAAACACAGGTCTCTCCTTCAGCAAGGACATGCTGCTTTGTATTTCTCTGCGCAGCAGGTACTGTCATTTCCTCCCGCCCCTTTGGATGGCCTTCATTTGGGTTTTCGTCTGTGCCATTCAAACACACTTACGGTATCTCCTGCACGCTACTCCATAAATGCTCCACAGGGGAATACCCTTACTTGTAACAATGGCAGAGACCAGACGAAAGGGAGCCGGTTCTAAACAGGTAAACATTCACTGTGCCAAAGGCCTGTACAACACTCAACCTCAGAGTGACAATGCTTTACTTGCACTAGAGCAGGACCCAGTTTTAACACTTGTGTTAGCATCTTATTCTAGCACGCATCAAAGTTGCCTTTTTGACAGAAGCAGAATTTTCTGCGTCCATGTCATAATTCCTGGGACAAATTATGGTCTTAAAGTAGCCATGTTTGTCCAGGGCTCAGAAATGGCCTGCCACTTTTTTTCCCTACTCCTGTTTCTCAATCGCGGGTGGCCTCTCATATGGTGGTCCTAGTGGATGCTGAGTCAGAGGGCAATAAGGAGGATATTGAGGCAGTGTTGGAGGAAGCTACAGAAGAATTCTATCCCCCATGTCACTATATTGATGAGGAGCTTCATGGAAAATGCTTGCCAACATTGAAAATCTTGATGACTATGTCTGCAAAAGCCTTGGCATAGTGCAAGTTGAGTCTCCTCACTCTAGCGACGTGCCTTTTGACACAGAGATCTACAAAGTCTTCCAAACATTCCCCGTCCAGAAACAAATATAATGTGCAATCTATAATGATTGGGACATTCCAGAAAAGATTTTCACTCCCTCAAAAGTCTTTGCTGACCTCTATCCAGTGGGAAGAAGTGGGCTATACCTTTGGTTGACCCTGCCATTTCTGTTCTAAGCAAATCTCTCACTGTACCTGTTGAAGATGTTGTTTCTTTAAAGCTTCAACTCAGAAAATTTGAGACACTCTTAAAAACTCTTTTTAACCTGCCAGGCTCAGCCCTGCAACCAGCTCCTGCTGCTTTCTGTGCATCAAACTGCAGCTAGCTGGACTAGATCAATGAACAATCAACATCAACCTGTCTTGTGCGGTTGCAGAACAATTACAACAACCGCCTTTTGCTTTTTTTTTTTTTTTAACCCTATTTTGTTTTTGATGGTGATTTTTATCTGTAGACACAAGGCACAGCCACGGGAGCCAATTTTTCTCCGAGTTCTGATAATCTAACGATGGGTCTGTGGGAAAACCAATATATCTAGAAGAACAACCCCTTTAGCCAACATCTGTTTTTTTTTTTTTTTTTTTTACGGTCGATATATGGACAATTTTATCATCTGGGACGGTCCTCACCCTCTGATAGAAGAGTTCGTAAACTTGCAATTCTAAAATTTTTGGTCTCACCTTTACCCATGTAGCTGATCCCACCACATTGTGCTTTCTGGACCTTGAACTCACATATTCCATTTCCACCATCATTGCCAAAAGCTACCAGAAGCCCACAGCAGGGAATTCTTTTCTACGTTTTTCTAGCTGTAACCACCCTAGATAAATCCGCAACGTTCCAAAAAGTCAATTCCATCGCCTCAGAAAAAATTGTACTAGGTTGGTCGACTGCCAAATACAAAGAACGGCCCTAAAGGACAAATTCCTTGAAAAAGGATACCCACCTCAGCTTATCGAGGAAGCCTACTCTTTTTACCTGACAGATACACCAGCCCCTCAAAAAGGAAGTCCGGAACCTACCATTAGGTTTGTTACCCGATACCATTCGATCCAGAAGAAAATGGAAAGTATCTTCAAAAGACATTAGTCTAGTCTGTCCAATGACCCACATCTTGCACCATCCATTTCATCCCTCCCCAAATTTGGTTACAGAAAAGCACCTAGTGTTAAAAAGAAGATTGCACCCAGCAAAGTTCCCACTGCTACCAACAATACCACCATCAGACAGCTCACCCTCATGCAAATCACACGGATGTTCTGTTGCAATAAAACTTTCTCACTTGTGCTCATGTTTCCCTTGGTAAAAATAAAACATTCTGTACCAATGGCAAAACCTATCCCATTACAGCATTTTACAATTGTTCTGCCACTTATGTAATTTACTGCCTCTACTGTCCCTGCGGCTTGCTCTATGTTGGCCACATAATTAGAACCCTCAGAAAAAGGTTCTGAGAACATCGTCGCTTAGTACAGGACGGCAATCCAAAAGTGTCCCATGACACTTTTCTGAATTTCACCACAAGTCTATTCATGATCTTCAGGTATGGATCCTCGATACATACCTGACACATACACCACAGCTGAACGCTTTCAAACGGTTATGTAAACAAGAAACCTTCTGGATATACACCATTTAAATACATTAGTTCCTGGGGGGTTAAATGAAGAAATTGAGGTCCACACAGTTTTTATGATTTTTTTTTACCTCCTTTGGTTGATTATTCTCAATTTTATCTCATGTTATCCATATCTGTACAGAGGGCCCAATTCATAGAGCTTACAGTTTTTCTTTCGCATTTCTATTTACAATTTTTATTCTAGCTAGTTATCCGGTCCCTACGTTTATCAAATTTCTTATTTATGCCGTTTCCCCTCACAGCCAAACATAGTACCACATATGACATCTCGTATTCCTGTGGTTTGTTGCTAAACGGCTTAAAACACATCTTCTGCTATTAGCCTCACATACATACACATACATATTTGTTGCATTGTATTGCCTTATGCTCTTATGTCCTACATTTATTATAATTGTAATTTGAAACCGTGATTGTTCTTGTTGTATTAATCTGTCTGTGTACTGCGGTGCTCCAATCTTGTCCGCCGATTCATGCCGCTCATCCCACCTCCAGTACATTGCCGTCAATCTTCTAGCAAAGTCCGGCCCACCTCTAAGAGTGACGTCTCCCACATCCAATCAGGTCTGAAGAAGTTGCTTTGAAACACGTCACCTGACTTCTCGCCTTTAATCTTCTACAGAGTACTGCTTCGCTCTATGGGGAGCTGCCTTCACCAGTGTCTTTTATAAGGATTCATGGACATTATGGACTTTGTGATGATTTCATTACTGAAACATCCTGCCATACTCTCATAGTTGCTTTGTTGTTGCCTATGTTTTATTTAGGATAGTTCCCTCTCAGCGCCATTTACTTTTTCATTTAAAGCTTTTGAGGGTGCCTTCCCTGTTTCCCCTACCCCATTCCGTTAGTCCTCAGGTTTTTTTTTTTTCTATTGTCCTAATGGGATGTACCTTCTCTCCCTTAATGAAGAAAAATCACTTGTGGCCTAGCTAGTTTATTTTGTCTTGGGATTCTTCAATTATTCAGTGTACTCCTCACTGTCTTCTAATAACACTAGAGACTTGTACCTGGACCCCATGCCATGGGGATGACATGTAATGTTCGGGCACTGGATTCTGCAAAGACACTTACCTCTGCACTCTGTACAATGTATGTAGATAGCCATAGGGTGCTATACAGGTTCAAGGCCATGGTCTGTCCCTATGGAACCCAGACCCTAGAGACCAATTCAAAGGTAAGTCCTCCATGCTGGACGAAGCCTAGAACATATATAGGGCCAAGTATCATGGGCAGGTAAGAGAGGGTCACCCTGTATCTCTGACCATTATTGGTAAAGACTGAGGTTATGTTTGTAAGTTTTTTAAACTTATTGTTAAAACTCAACCACTTAGAGCCTCAAGTGGATGACA